AATGATTGCTGCTTCACTGACACATCAACCTCTTTCTAAAATAGGATAAGGAAGTATTATAAACTTTCTAAACAATTTTAATTTTTCATCATATATTATAAACTGAAATACGTAGGAATTAAAAAAGGTATAACATTGAAGATTCCTTTATTTGGTTGTCTATTGATTTGCTGTATTCCTAATCTTGGAGGTTAATCCCCTTAAACTTAATTATCAGAAGCAAGTATAACGATAAGGCATGCGTGTAAAAGCCCCAAAACCCCAAAAAATTTTGTGATCAAAATCTTAAATTATATCTCATATATTACATTGAAAAAATATAATAATACGAAAATTCCGCAACTCAAAACATAAGAAGCTGCGAATATGGTTGTATTCTCAATCTCCAGTAAAAAAAAGCTATTCCCAAGATTGTCTTTCCAGAGTTTCTTATACATTCTTAGCGCAATTTACTTTTTTGAAACATTACCACGAGTCACTGCTTTCAATGGATTTTCAATTTCATTACCTAATGAAGTGACAATTTTATCTGTTGCTATGTGGGTCTTTTATGAACTCGGAAACCTTAAAAATTTCACAGCAGCACGCGTATTTCGTGTAGTTGACGATATTATAATTCAATTTGGATTGTTTTCAACCATTATTCTTTCATGTTTTTCATCCGATGAATCTTGTGAAGATGTCAAGTTTATTTTATTTATTTCCATACTTCTAACAACAGTATTTCTTATCTGGTTCAATTGGTACTCTTGGGGTACTAATCCAGAAAGAACTTGGATTCTAAGAACTGGAATTTGGTTGTGTATAATGAGTTTTGTTTATGCATTTATTTTTAAATGGCAGATAAAACACGGAAAAGACTCATTTTGGACGATGCTCACTTTTATTTTTATTGTAATCTCAGTATTTGTCTGTCTCACATCAAAAAATAAGAATGTCAGATCTATTACCTTTCTCTTTACAGCACTATTATGTCTTAGTAATAGCTATGATTCATTACCTGCTAGTTATTATGGTTTTATTTTCCCTGGATTTCTTATTTTTATCTTTTCTAGAATTTTTCATTATACTGCCATGTATCAAATGAAATTTGGTATTTTTAATTCCTTAAATCTAAATATAATTCCAATTGCAAATTCTCGAGTTACAGAACGTCAACCTTTAATTCGAAACAACATCAGACCTCATTCAATAGAAAATTATACTGAATTTAATTTATGTTCACAAAACAATACATTTTGTTGTATTATTATTATACCTATCATATTTTTTATCACAGTAACCGTTTCTTTATACTTAAAGACATACTTTAATTTTGATATATGTCTATTTTGGTGTTAATAAATCAACTATGGTATATAATTATTTTGTTTTTAGCATAAATTTTTAACACTGTATTAATTTATTGATCTGTTTTAATGATTAACAGATATTTTGGGGGATAATTATTGCAAATTCACAAATATATATTGCTTAAATAGCAGTTATGAACGGTTATAACTTAATAATCGGTCATTACTTATGTACTTGGTGTTAAAAAATTCATTGGATATCTTGAATATTTTTTACTGATATCTACTGTATTGGATCATCCGAAAGTAATTGGATTAATGCTTTGAATTACAGTAGATAACTATAATGGGGGTTTGGGTCAAAATCCCGACAAACAGAATCCCGACAAACAAAAATCCTGACAAAATTGACTAACACTATGTAGGGATGGCAAATGATTTAAAACACAATGTTTTAAATTAATATTATATTGCTTTAAAATGATTTTTTTTTTATGATTTAAATCATCGTCATTGATAACCGGGTAAATTTTAAATATCATGGCA